CAGGATCATATCTATCAAAATTAGTGGATATCCAGTGAACATCGATGTTATGTAAGGGCATGCACCCAGTGTAGATGCAATGGTGGAAAACGTGGAATCATATGGCAAATTGTAAGGGGTGCTAAATGCAGTGTCAAGAAACAGTATAGAACTGCTAATTGTGCTTGGAATGCAAAAGTTGAACAAATGGCTGAACCGGGTCTTATAGGATAATTTGAACTGAGTGAATACAGTCATTTAGGGCATAAGTTAATAGAATTTGCAAAGAGCATTTTGTTCCTTGTCAACGCCTGCTTCAAGGAACATAAATGCAATCTTCACACCTGAATGTCACCAGAATCACATGAACTACATAACAGGAAACAGAATATGAAAAAGTACAATCCAGTCATCCGGAATGCTTCCTGGTGCAGTTAGTGGACTAGACAATGACTTATTGATATCAAATAAAACAAGAAATTAAAGAGAACAGAGGACCCCAAGGACATACAGTCAGAATATAAGTTCAGTGTAAGAAACAGATTCAGTCGACTTAACTTACACAAAAGAGAAACCGAGGAACTACAAGAAGAGTTAAGAGAAATTGTGAAAACCAAAGCAGAAAAAAAAACACCCTAATTTCAAAGAGAAAAGATCCAAAAAGCTTGTTATGAAAGCCATCATGATACCCCAAGAAAGATAAAGAATGAAAGCCTTAGACCACAAGGATGTTTAACAACAGATTGCTAACTTTCAACATCAAGCAAGAAAGGACAAGGAACGACATTTCAATCAAGAATGTCAATAGAAAGGGAAAAACAACAAGAAAAGAAGAATAAGAGATCTCTCATTCAGTGACTCTAGTTCAAAATGACTAGAACATTCACAGCTAAGGTATGACTATATACAGTAATACCTTGGTTCACGAACGCTTCTGTTGACGAACAATTTGGTTCATGAACAGCACCGTTGGCAAAATTTTGCTTCCATTCGCAAACTCCGCATCGGGTGACGAACACGACCCGTGGCCATCTTCCCTGCTCTGACATGTGGTCGTGGCTTCCTGTAAGTGAGGGGGACTCTCCCTCCAAACAATAACTGCCTCCCCACCCGCCTTCCTGTCCTCCACGCCAGAAGTCGCCTCGACCAAGGTTAGTGTTCTCTCTCTTCGTACTGTACTGTACTTTGTGTCATATTTTTGTGGTTTAAAAAAAAAATACATATGGTTCAG